GATATGTTTTCAATTTGCTGTGCTAAAAGAGTTGCATATATGTATTGAAAATTTTGTTTATTCTCCATGACATGAAAATATTCTAACCATTTAGCTTTAACCATAAATTTAAAATTATAAAAAGTGTACAATTAAAAAGTTATTTTTTAAAATCAAAATTAATATTTTTAAATTTGAAAACTATAAAAAAAGATATACCCAGTATTGAATACGGAGTAACAGTTAGCAGAGTAGCATTTCTTGTTTTTTGCATTTAATTCTTAACGGAGTAGTTAACTCCATTTTGCCTTTTATTATTAAATAATAATATGCCACATGGCAGTCACATAAATGTGGGATAGATGAATGGGACACCCAAATTGGGATAGAGGATCCGGCCCCCTCCTTTCCATATTTTTAGTTTTTCTAATTCTTTCAAACTTTTTCTAACTAATTTCACTTCTTTTATTAACAATTTATATATGATAAATATATAATAATATTATATATTCAAATTTATAACATATCACAGAAAAAACGAACAGAGATGAATTATTTTTATCCAAAATGACTTGTTAACACTTTAATTTTTCCACAATTTTTATATCCTTCTAGTTTTTTCTAATTTCTCAATCTCTTCCCGTTTCTTCTAATATCCAATTTTGAAATTTCATTCCAAAAGAATATGTCTCAACGTTAGTATATGATGTTTTTTAATTTTATGTACTCTATTACAATGTAGTATTTGTTCATACATTTCTCAACCTAATGACGTATAAGTCTAACGCCTCCGTTGGGACTCGAATCTAAGTGAACTTCTCCATTAATCTTGTAAAGTCGACTTCCTACCACTCAAATCAAGGTGAAATTCCAAATATATACTCCGTAATGTTTTAAGTTAAGGCTTAGATCTAGTTTAGGGTCTTTTTAGATTATTAATTACTTCTATTAAAATTAGATAAAATCAAATACCCTAAAAAAATATTATATCAAATCAGATCAGAGTAGATTTAATTGAATCTACTAAAATTAAATCAGATAAGATCTAATCAAATCAGAAGAGATCAAAATCAATCAGATAAGATCTTTAAGATTAAATTTAATAAATCCAAAAAATACTAAAAAATAATGCTTATATTTTTTCTATTATGACATACTCCCTCCGTTCTTAAAAACTCTTCATGTTTTGATTTTTTAAGTCAAATAGTGACACTCTTTTACCATACTTAATCATAACCTTAAAAAATAAATATTATAAAAAATTGATATATCAAAACTATATCCTAAGATGAATCCAATTATATTAAATTTATATTATAATTCAATATTTTTTACAATTTTTAATAAAAAGGTATCACCGTTTGAAGAAAAATAAAAAATTAATAATAATATTGTTACATTTGATTAAGTAATACTTATTATTATTTAAATAATTATAATGCTCTATTTGTTACTAAACTATTATCTTCTTTCAAAAATATAAAAAATTACATCTCTTTTAAAATAATTTAATTTATAAAAATATAGAAATAAGGTGTTGGGATTTTAAGCGCGTAAGATACCGAAAAATATTGAAAACACCAGAAAAATGAGAGAACAAACACAAGAAGAGTATATGAGAGAAAAAAAATTATATTTCCAATATTTCAGGACAATATACAAAAAACTCTCTCCTGTTTACAAGACTAAATTCCAGATACTCATAAACAAATGTTTCTACATCCTATGCCCGGATGTATTTTTCTGAGTAACTAAAATCAGTTACTCCCTACACTCACTTATACTCACCAAGACCCCTTGGATTTTCCCGGTGGTATTCTTGTGTA